TACCAGAGTTAAATAGGCCATTTCACTTCATGTATTTTATATATTTCAAACTCTGGTCGCATTTTCTGATAACGTTGTAAGAGCTGCTTTCCAGCCCAAATTTGTTGTTTCCACAAAAGGTTTTATAGGTCACTGAAGTTTTTCTTTCCTCACTTCCATTTTTGGTAACATAGAGTATACAACACATGTATGACTTAAAGAATAATTTTAAGGTAACTGTCTCCCTCTAGAACCCACTTATAAAATCTTTAGAAGTCTTCTTAATGTTTTCATATATACACTGCGTGCGTGCTCAGTTGTTCAGTCGTGTCCGACTCCTTGCAGCCCGACAGACTCCTCTGTCCATGGAATTATCTAGACAAGAACAGTGGCGTGAATTGCCATTTCCTACTCCAGGGTACTCTTCCCAACCCAGGGATTGAACCTGCATCTCTTGCACTGGCAGGCAGGTTCTTTACCACTAAGCCACTTGGAGAGTCCATCCCCATATGTACATTACTATGTATAAAATAGGCAACTAATGAGGACCTACCATACAGCACAGGGAGCTCTGCTCACTGCTCTGTGGGGACCTACAGGAGGTGGGAATCCAGAAAGGGGGGATACATGCATGCATGTAACTGTTTCATATAGCAGAAACAAATATAGCATTGCAAAGCAACTATTCTTCAGTTAAAATTAATACAAACCAATACAAATAAAAGTTTTCAAAGATTTTATAATAAAATATATATACATATAGTAAGGGCTTCAATAATTTCTATTACTGTTACTGTTCCATTTGCATCTTTTCTTCTCTACTTGCTACTTTAGGGACTTCCCTGGTGGCTCAGATGGTAACGTGTCTGCCTACAATGTGGGAGACCCGGGTTCGATCCCTGGGTTGGGAAGATCCTCTGGAGAAAGAAATGACAACCCACTCCAGTGCTCTTGCCTGGAAAATGCCGTGGACGGAGGAGTCTGGTAGTCTACAATCCATGGGGTCACAAAGAGTCGGACACGACTGAGCGACTAAACGTTCACTTTCACTTTTGCTACTCTCCTCATTGGAAAATGTGTGTGTGTTAGTTGTTCAGTCATATCCCACTCTTTGCGACCTGTGGACTGTAGCCCACCAGGCTCCTCTATCCATGGAATTTTCCAGGCAAGAATACTGGAGCGGGTGGCCATTCCCTTCTCCAGGGGATCTTCCCGACCCAGGGATCAAACCCAGGTCTCCACCATTGCAAGCAGATTCTTTATCATCTCAGTCACCAGAGAAGCCCTGGAAAATGTTATTTTTCTAGAATTACCAGCTGGGGAAAACTTGTCATTTTTTTCCTTTAAATTAGTTTAGTTCCTTTAACATGCTAGACACTGCCCTCGTCTTTGGGGTACAGAGAGGACTGATTTTTTTTTTGAGGGTCACTAAGGGAAGTAATCCGGAGAAAGCAGTGGCGCCCCACTCCAGTACTCTTGCCTGGAAAATCCCATGGATGGAGGAGCCTGGTGGGCTGATGTCTACGGGGTTGCACAGAGTCGGACACAACTGAAGTGACTTAGCAGCAGCAGCAAGGGAAATAATCATAGATAACAGCTGAATTGAATGCCTCTCCATTCAGTAGTAAGGATTATTTAGATCAAGTCCTATTAAAAATAACATATTTTTCACAATTCTTCATATTTGTGAGAAATGGATAGATAAACATGAAGAATCTCCATATCCCAAATATGTCCAAATCTATTACTTTCAGTAGCTTGGTCAGATCTTTCCAGATAGTTATATATTCACATTTGTGTAACACAGAATATGTGCCCCAAATAAGTACATATTATTCTTTTCACTTAATAGTATACCAAAACTGTTTTCCAAATCAGTAAATATTTATCTGTAGGTTTACTTTTGATGACCAAACAGTATTCTGTTATTTGTAGATTTTATGATTTATTAACTGATTACCTGTTGAAAATTTGGGCCAAAATTGACATAGTTAAATCGTGGCAAGCATACTTAATAATTTCCTTAGAATAATTTTTGGAAGTTTTGAATTACTGGATCAACAAGTATTACATTGTAAAAAATCTTAATTGAGTGTATGAAAACAGAAGAGTACGTAAGTCGTAAGTAAAGTTTAGTAAAATTACACAAGGTGATTTTTCCCCCATGTTTATATACCTAGCATTCAACTTAAGAAACAGACTATTTCCAGAAACCCGGGAGCCCACCATGTAACCCCTCCCAGTTTCTGTCCTTGTCGCAAGGATAACTCGTCTTCTGACTTGTCACACTATGAGTTAGGTTGCTATTCTAGAATTTCTGTATATAAATTGAGTCATATCATGTGTGCTATTTTGCATCTGATTTCTTTTTAATATGTATTAGTTATTTTCCCTAGAAAAGTTATTTCATTTTATTTTCCCAGCATGAATGCTTCTTTCTCCTCTGTGAATACTGTCATTCAAAATCACAATCAAGGAAAATTGTATCCACTTGTCTTAATTTACTTATTTTTTTCTAAGTAGGTGAAACAGTTTTTTTTACTATGTCTATTAATCATTTGCTTTTCTTTTGTAAATCTCTTGCTTTGTGTTTTGTTAGCTTCTTTTGATGCATTGCTGTCTTACTAATTTGTAGTAGCTTAATGTACAAAGAACAGTGGCCCTTTGTTATATGTATGGCAAATATTCTCTGATCTTTTATTTATCTTTTAGTTTTGATACTAAAATTTAAATTTTTCTTCTGTTAAGTTTCTGCCTAGTGTATGATGCTTGAAGAGCATTCTCTATTTGCAGACTTTTAGACATTTTTATTGTTCAGATTTCATTCTTCCCCCTACCCTCCAGCCCTTGCGCTGATCTTTGTGCTTATGTATACTTACATTGAAAACCCCACCAGATGATGTTATAATTTTTGCGTTAAATAATCATAGGTATCAAAGAAATTCAGAGGGGGAATGTAGTGTTTTATAGTTACCCAACTGTTTATCATTTCTGTTGTTTTCTTATTTTTGGTATTTCAGGTTTCCTGCCAGTATTATTGCCTGTCAGCCTAAAGAACTTTCTTTAAAATGTCTTCTAAAAAACCTGTTGGCAATGGATTCTTTAATTTTCCTTTACTTGGAAATATTTTTATCCTTCATTCTCTAAAGGATATTTTTCCTGGATATAGAGCTTTTAAAGTGTTTTGTTTTGTTTTTTTCCTGTTCCATCATATTTTTCTTTTCAGTCTGGACCTCCAGTCAGATGTCTGTTTAGCTCCATAGGTCCCCAAGTCTCTGGGCATTTTATTTCAATCTTTTCCCCTTGTTTTTTAAAATTGGTTTGTTTCTGTTGGTCTCACTTCAAAGTCACTGACTTTTTCCCCTGTATCTTCTCCATTCTACAATTCAGCCTAGGAAGTTTTTCGTTTCAGTTAATTGTGTTTTTCAGTTTAGGTTCTCTTCTTGTCATTTCTATTTCTCCACTGAGAATTTCTCTCTTGATTTATTTCAGTGTCTTTCTATTACGGCATTGCTATTAACTCATACCAACATAGTTATAGTTTCTGCTTTAAGTCTTTGTCTGATAGTCCAGCATCTGGGTCATCTCAGCACTGACATCTATTGAATGTCTTTCCTCTTGACAGTTGGTTCCATTTTGTATGTTGGACTTTGTATGTTGAGTAGTATTGGATTGTATCCTGGATATTGTGGACTCTTTGCTGACTTACCATCATCTGGACCGTATTGATGTTTGGTGTCAACAGGCAGGCAGTCCAGTTAAAGTCAGAACATAAGTTCTGTCAGCAGTGTCTCAGCAAACAGTGATTCAGACCTCATTTCTGTTCTCTTAAGAGTTTGCTGTTCTGTTTTGGGTTCTCTCCTGCAGGAACACAGTTTAGGAATTGGTCTGAGACTTACATGGTTTTTTCTGTTTGACCAAATTATAAATAGTATTTTGATTCTCTCTTGGTATCTGAAGCGTAGTAAACCTCAAGGTTAAATACTGAATTTGATTTGGGCCCAATCTGCATTAACCCTGTGGAATCAATAAAACACCACAGTCTTAACAAAAGCAGGAAAGTATACAAATTAGCTTTATATGACTTTTAAATCAGTGTCTAATTTTTAACACTTTATAAGCTTTATTTAATGCCAGTTTTAAAATAGGTTGAGTTGAGCCTGTCCCACTAGTGAAAGAAAAAGGAATGGTATCATTTAAACTTTAAACAAGAAGAAATTAAAATTTATATTTGATTGAACATATTAATTTCTTCTAGAAGCCTTTTATACAGTTACAGTGAACCTTAAGAGTTACATCAGATTTCTTCTTCGAGTGTATACCTAAAACAAGTTTATTTGAATAGTGTAATTTTTATTTTCAGAAACAAAATATGTAATATTTTAAAATTTCATTTATCTCGTCACAAAAATAATCATAGTACTTTGCTTTGAAGTTGAATGAGTTAAATCAGAAGAAATGAAATGAACTGGGTTTGTACAAAAGAGTATGTGTCAGTTATTTATTTCTGTGTAGCAAACCACTCCAAAACCTAGTGCATCGACGTCAAATCATGTAGATTTATTTGTCTCTGTTTCTGTAGTCTGGATTGTTCTGTTGGTCTAGTTCAGTACTAGTTCTGGTCTCTCCTGGGCTATCTCACACTGCCGTGGCTGTATGGAGACTTGACAACATGGCAGCATCTCGGTGGGAGAGTCTGGATGGGTAACGGGCCAGAGGAGCCTCGCTCCATGTAGATTCTCACTTTTCAGTGGTCCAGCACTGTTATTTCTCTAATTGAACACATGTTGAGTATCTGATTAGCCTTGTTACCCTTATTATCTTGTTTATATGGGGAAAAACCAAGTTATATTACTTTACTTTTATTTGTAACATCTTTTCTAGAGAAAATAGTGACCTGCCATTTGTTTAAGAGTGTCTGATCTTTGAAATGGTTTATTTGCTGTGACTTAAAAGACCATGGAATCAATTGTTACATGATTAGTTTAATAATTATTTATATTACTTCTTTTAAAAAACAGGCAATTGCTGGCTACTTTGATATATATTTTGAGAAGAATTGCCACAACAAGGTAAGTATCTCATAACTAGGCAAGTATTTTATTTTTGTGCCCCAAGGTATTTGATCATAAGCATTTTGCTTTTGTAAGTAGTTGGAGCTTGTATTTGATGTAGTAAATTAATGTACCATGATATTAAAAATCTTTTACTTCATAAGACATTTTTTAACTCTACCAATGCAGGTTGTGTTTTCTACGGGCCCACTGAGCACCAAAACACACTGGAGACAAACAATATTTTTACTGGAGAAGCCATTTTCAGTTAAAGCAGGTAAGAAAGAAAGGGGGCGAGTGTCTTACTCATTCTGAAACAAACAGTATTCATCCATTCTGCAACCACTTTTTCTGTGCCCACTGTATCTGAAGCAATGTAGCATACTAAGGTTAGTAGTTCTTAGAGTTTACCATGTACATAAAGTTAGGTGGCATATCATTTCATTAAAGAAGTAAGTTAAATCTAATGTCTGCCAGTTACAATGTATGAGCCATTATGTAGCTGTTATGTTGAGTACTACATAGTAATTCAGAAAATTTTTCGTTAAGCATTAACTAGTATGTACTTAGTTGAAACTGTAAATAAAAGAAAATATTTTAATTTCCCAAGTGACTAAACAAAAATATCACCAATAGAAGTAAAGTATAAATTAAAAGAGAATGTTATTCAGCAGTTACTATATTCAAAATATATTGGTTTAGAATGCTCTCCACTGTGTCCACCTCCTCAGATCTTACGTAGTGACTGATCCGATGCTGCATTCCTTTGTTTTGCATCTTGTTGATTGTTCACTTAATGAGCACCGATAGTTCTTATATATCTACACATTTAACACCAAAAGTTAGAATTTGATTATGGAATCTTTTTTTTTATTTTAACTGCTTGTTACATGCATGTCTTGTCCCATCTTCACTTGAAAGCCTCTTGACTATGGGAAAACTGAATGTACACCAAACTTCAGTGCAGAGATACTCAACATCAGATTATTTGTGTGTCTCTCAAAAGCAACATTGAGCAAAGATTTGCAGAAGGATCCCTAAAATATATGATTTTGATTTATATGAAGTTTTAAAAACATGTAAAACAACAGTATATACACACACATAGTAAATTAAGAAACAACACTTAAGAATGATAACTAACCACTGAATGCATCAAAGTGGTCACCTCTAGAGAAGGATAGAAATAAGATTGCAGAAAGGGGCTTTAGTGCCATATATCTGAACTATTTCTCTGAAAAACTGAAGGAACTGTGCAGAATGTCAAGATTTGACAGAACTGAGCAAGTGGTCATTATATCCTTCTCCTTGTTTAAAATATTTCATAAAATTCTGATATAGTTTTGATTTCACTATTGAAGCGTAAAGGAATTTAGTAGATGTGACTAAACACCATTAGAGTAAAGCAGCACTGTGTTGTTACTCTTTCACTTTGAGGTTGTGATGCTCTGGAAATGAAACCTGATGGTGTCGTTTTCTCTTTCTCTGGAAAGTTATAGCACAGAAAAACTGAAATGAAGCGAAGACATCTTCATTTATGTTTTGTTGCTTTTTTTTAGCTCTGATATTTGGATTAACTTTGGGGAAGTTGAAAATACTGCTTTTTTCCTCGATGTAACCATTTGTTGTCTTACTACTAGAATTCTAAAGACAGTACTAATTCTTTCATGTTTTAATCTTGAAAGAGATTTAAGACAGCCTTTGAATTTTCTCCTACCGAATTGCAACACAATATTATTTATACCTAGTGAAATTTTGAAATCCTAACTATTCTTTATACAGTAATCCTTTGAGTAATTGATTCGCTTTCTCAGAATACTGTGAAGAAGGTATATGATTCTAATGTTGCCCTGTGGCACCATCTACATTCTGTATTTCTTTCATTGCCATTGTGTGTACTTACATTTAAATAGTAAGTCCAGTAGGCTCCCCTAAAAGAATATAACCTGAGGAAAGTTTGTGAAAGCAACATTTCAAAGAAAAAGTAGTCATTCTCAGTTACAAGAATTTTTTTTTTTTTAACTCTACTAATCATTAGCCTCTGATTGTATTACTGATGAATAGAAGCCAGAAGCTGTGGGGCAGAGTATTGGGATAGAAGCTAGTCAGAAAAAAAGATAACTAGGGACCTCTGTATCAGTATCGAACATGTTGATGATTATATTAAATATAAATGGTCTGTACATCTAGAAGATAAAATTTCATTCAGTGCTAAAAAGAAATGAGCTATCAACCTGTGAAAAAACATGGAGAAATCTTAAACACATATTACTGAGTGAAAGAAGCCAGCCATTTAAAGAAATAATACCAACTCTACACAGTCTCTTCCAGAAAATAGAAAAGAACTGATTTTATGAGGACAGTATTTCTTTGATATCAAAAATTAGACAAAGATAGTACAAGAACATTAAACTATAGACCAGTGTCCCTCAGGAATAAATCCTCAACAAAATAGTAGCAAATTGAATCCAGTGATGTGTAAAAAGAAAATGCACTGTAACCAAATGGGTTTTATTCCAAGAATGCAAGGCTGAGTCAGTATTTTAAAATCATGTAATGTAGTCCACCATGCCACAGTCTAAAGAAGAAAAACTACATAATTGTATCAGTGGATGCAGAAAAAAAAGTTGGACAAAATGTAATATCAATTCATGACAAATACAGCAGACTAGAAATAAAAGAGGGCTTCATCATCCTGACAAAAGGCATCCATATAGTATATAGCTAGCATCATGCTGAATAAAGAAAGACTAAATTTGAGATAAGGAAATAGTGTCTACCTGCACCACTCCTACACTGTTGTGTGTGTTTTTTTTTTTAGAATTTATTTTAATTGGAGGATAATTACTGTACAATATTGTGATGGTTTTTTCCATTTATCAGTATGAATTGGCCATAGGTATACATGTGTTTCCTCCATCCTGAACCGCGCCCCCCCCCAATCTACCTCCCTCTAGGTTGTCACAGAGCACCAGTTTTGGGTGCCCTGCTTCTTACACAAACTTGCACTGGTTATCTATTTTACATATAACAATGTATATGTTTGAATGCTATTCTCTCAAATCATCCCACCTTCTCCTTTTCCCACTGAGTCCAAAAGTCTGTTATTTACACCTGGGTCTCCTTTGCTGCCCTTTATGTAGGATCGTTGTTACCATCTTTCTAGATTCCATATATATGCATTAATATGTGGTATTTGTCTTTCTCTTTCTGACTGACTTCACTCTGTATAATAGGCTCTAGGTTCATCCACCTCATTAGAACTGACTCAAATGTGTTCCTTTTTATAGCTGAGTAATATTCCATTGTGTATATGTACCACAACTTCGTTCTCCATTTATCTGCTGATGGACATCTAGGTTGCTTCCACATCCTAGCTGTTGTAAATAGTGCTGCATTGAACATTCAGGTACATGTGTCTTTTTCAGTTGTGGTTTCCTCAGAGTATATGCCCAGTAGTGGGATTGCTGGGTCGTATGGTAGTTTTATTCCTAGTTTTTTAAGGAATCTCTGTATTGTTCTCCATAGTGGTTGTATCAGTTTGCATTCCCACCAACAGTGTAAAAAGGTTCCCTTTTCTCCACACCCTCTCCAACATTTGTTACTTGTAGACTTTTTGATGATGCCCTTTCTGACTGGTGTGAGATGATACCTCATTGTGGTTTTGATTTGCATTTCTCTAATAATCAGTGATGTTCACCATCTTTTCATTTGTTTATTAGCCTAAACAAAAATTAGACAAAGATGGTACAAGAAAATTAAACTACACACCAATGTCCCTCACAAATAAATCCTCAACAAAATAGTAGCAAATTGAATTCAGTGATGTGTAAAAAGAAAATACACTGTGACCACAGTGTATGTCTTCTTTGCACTCCTGCAATCTTATACTGGAAGTCTTAGTACAGTAAAAAATGAAAAAGACTTAACCATTGGGAAGGAAGGAATAAATCTGTTATTATTTATAGATAATGTATACATAGGAAACCTACCAAAAAAAAAAAAAAATACAGAGCTAGTAAGTGAATTTAGCAAGGAAGAAATTAACATGCTGATTCTAAAATTTATATACAAATGACCTAGACTATTATAGCCAAACAATTTTAAGAACCATATTGTACTTCTTACACTATGTAAATTCTAAACTTAAAAATTATATTCATACAAGCAGTATAGTATTGACAAATAACAGATGGATATATAGATTAATATACCAATAGAAAATTCAGAAATAGCCTCATTTTTGCATAGTCAGTTAAGTTTTTTCAAAGGGCCAGTATAAATTTAATTGGAAAGGGATAGTCTTCTCAGAAAATTGTTTTAGAACAACTGAATATTCATAAAGGAAAATAATGACTCTTCTTATCTGACACCAAATATATAAAAACTGACTCTAAATGGATAATAGACCTAAATATAATAAGCTTAAAACTGAAATTTCTAGATGATAACATAAGAGAGCATCTTGATACTTGAGGTAGGTAAAAGTTTACAAAAGTGAAATATTAAGTAAAACTCATTGAACTGCAATTTTATATGTTATAGTTTTATTATATATAAACTACAGCTTAATAAAGTTAAGGCAAGGGTGGGATGATGAGAGAATAGCATTGAAACATGTTTGTTATCATATGTGAAATAGATAGGCAGTCCAGGTTGGATGCATGAGACAAGGTGTTCAGGGCTGGTGCACTGGGATGACCCAGAGGGATGGGATGGGGAGGGAGGTGGGAGGGGTTTCAGGATGGGGAACACATGTAAATCCATGGCTGATTCATGTCAATGTATGGCAAAAGCCACTACAATATTGTAAAGTAATTAGCCTCCAATTAAAATAATTAACTTAAAATTAAAAAAAAAATAATAACCCTTACTGGACCATAAGTATATCCAGGATAAAATCCAGATTCTTTACCATGACCCTTTACAGTCTGACCATTTTTCATCATTTCCAGCCCTGATCTGTCAGAACCCCATAGAAGTGCATCATATTCTCCAGCTGTACTGCTCATTTTTTAGCTAACTTTCCTATCGTTTTTTCCTCCTTGCCTTTATCTGAGATACTGTTTTACCTAGGAAACTACTTTGACCTCTTTCACTTGATGAATTACACTTTTCCCTTTATAACCCAGCTTATTTCTGTACATCTTTCCTCATTGTCCATAGAAAGTTAACTGTTCTGTTTTTTTTTTTTCTTCCCAAATCAATTCACACATATATACCAGTGTGCTCTGATAAGGGGTTCTCATAGAAGATGAGTTATTTGCCTCTCACTTC